TCGCTATGCTGACAATATCGGATTAACTACCAGCTCTTGTTTTTGAAGGAGTTTTATCTCCTTGTCCTTGAAGATTGACCCCTTTTTAACTCCAGTGTTACAACCAGTCCTCGTAAAGTACACCCAGAGAGAAAAGTGGAAGGAGGAGCTTGACCGCTTAGAAAAACTTGGTGTCATCCGCAAAGTTGATATATTAGGCAAACTGAGTGAGTTACTGGTCTTTAAAAGTGGTACGGAAACGTCATCATTGATTGATATACAGTTGGTAAACTCTTCTGAATATTTTTTCTCAACTCAGTAATTATTCATAAGGTGATCATCCAACCAAGAGACGCCAATTTCGTCACGTGCATTTGGTTTGAAACCCCGGTGAAACACAGGAATGACGCGCTATCCATGAGTTTCATATAATATCAAACCATTGAGTTTGATAAAACATCAAACTCTAGTGAACTCATTTCTTAATTTGAATATTAATAACACGTATTTGAATACTTAAAACAAAGGCAGCAACATGAACAAACAACCTTTATTAACACCCTCTCTAATAAGAAGTAACAAGACATTTTCTAAAGAAGACATCATCACGTTCGTTCACTTGTTGACGTTGATATCTATTTTACAGTTCTTAAAGTAGGCAGAGGCCATAAATTGATCACAAGAACTCTTCGAATTACCAATTTCAACAGTGCCTTCTGTGTCTTTAGTCATTTCTTCATTGCTAGTGCTGCACTTAGGCGCCAACACCTCAGAAACCTCAGCAGACTTAACTTCACTAATCTTTTCATACTTAAATGAAGCGTTTGACCGATGACCAGTCCGGTCCCTAATAGCTTCTCTTCTACACCTGCGTTAAATAAGCTGGATGCACAAGTTACTCTAAGACAGTGGCTAGTCTTGCGCTTAAGGTGACTCGACCCAGTTTTTTTTTGGGGGGTACCATCCTACTTTGAAGCTCTCTGGTATCCCCACCTTTACTTTTATCGTAAGTCTAACACATAGAATGGATACCATATAGATCAATCTGCAATATAACATAAAATTTTTGGCGATCGGAGTAAATGTCACGTGGTTATAATGCCACGCCCCTTTGAGGTCTGAGTCGAAAATCGGCTGTTGCCAGCATTTTTTCGTGAAAATCTCTCGGCTACACATAGTGCGCATTAGTGCCTTGCGCTAAACAGATTTTCACCAAAATCGCAAAGACCCAATTCGAGAAATTCAGCGGTTTCCAAATGTAGGTCATAATTTATGCGAAAATGATAAGCAAACTTTACACGGATTATATCTAATAAACCAAGAGATTCATCCCTTTATTTTGGGCATCGTTATAACAGATGGGTCCTTGCAAGTCAGCAAAACGCTTTAGGGCCTTGTAAATGCGCGCGATTTCGAGCAAAGCAAACATATAGAAATTATAGTTTTCGCTATTTGTTGACGTTTGTCAGCGTTTGAGAGTCCTTCTCACGAAAAAAGCATTTTCTTAAAAATTCGTAGTTTTTTTTCCTTCAAATTTTTTCAGGGCCACAATTGATTAAACAACTACCCGGACTCTGAATTTCATAGTCATTGAAAAACTGTGACTTTATCTTCTATAAGCTCAAACTTGAGTAAACATTGAAGATTTTTAGCGTTTTGGCCGAGTTTGTGCTTTGGGAGTTGTCTATTGTTTCTAGTCTGTCATTATACAGCATTCTTGTTCAGCACGCGTGCAATGACCGCGCTTGGCTGACTTCCGAATGCTCACCGAGATATTATAAATTTGGTACAGTGAGACAGGCCATCGCGTGGTACAGAGAGGTTTAACTAACAATTTTTAATCAATTCTCGTGCTTCTTGTGTCTTTGCAAAAAAATCAAGAAGTGCTACACACTAAGTCTACTTACTATTACAAAAATATCATTTTTTCATAGGTTTAATGCAAGCCAATAATTAAACCAACTCGTGAAGAGAATATCTCGGTGAGCATTCGGAAGTCACCCAAGCGTGGTCATTGCACGCGTGCTGAACAAGAATGCTGTATAATGACAGACTAGAAACAATAGACAACTCCCAAAGCACAAACTCAGCCAAAACGCTAAAAATCTTCAATGTTTACTCAAGTTTGGGCTTATAGAAGATAATGTCACAGTTTTTCAATGACCATGAAAGTCAGAGTCCGGGTAGTTAGTTAATCAATTGTGGCCCTGACAAAATTTGAAGGAAAAAAAACTACGAATTTTTAAGAAAATGCTTTTTTCGTGAGATTGACTCTTAAACGCTGACAAACGTCAACAAATAGCGAAAACTATAATTTCTATATGTTTGCTTTGCTCGAAATCGCGCGCATTTACAAGGCCCTAAAGCGTTTTGCTGACTTGCAAGGACCCATCTGTGATAAGGATGCCCAAAATATAGAGATGAATCTCATAGTTTATTAGATATAATCCGTGTAAAGTTTGCTTATCATTTTCGCATAAATTATGACCTAAATTTGGAAACCGCTGAATTTCTCGAATTGGGTCTTTGCGATTTTGGTGAAACTCTGTTCAGCGCAAGGCACTAATGCGCACTATGTGTAGCCGAGAGATTTTCACGAAAAAATGCTGGCAACAGCAGATTTTCGGCTCAGACCTCAAAGGGGCGTGGCATTATAACCACGTGACATTTACTCCGATCGCCAAAAATTTTATGTTTTATTGTAGATTGATCTATATGGTATCCATTCTATGTGTTATACTTACGATAAAAGTAAAGGTGGGGATACCAGAGAGCTTCAAAGTAGGATGGTACCCCCTAAAAAAACTGGGTCGAGTCACCTTAAAGCCTGCTTCTTTGCACTGCGAGGGTAGTATGTTATTGAGCGTGTTAATTCCCACAGGTTGTTTGTCAAAAGCAAAACGCTTAGAATTTGGCGTAAGGTGGCTCGACTGGAATATTTGGGGGGATACCTCCCAAGTTTGAGCATTAACTACGTCGGCATGAGTAAAGATATGGGATATAGGTTACCACAACTGTATTATATAATGATGAAAATTTCTTATGATCTGGGTTTTATTGGAATCGGAGCCGCCATGGCAACGTAATGACGCCATTACGCTTTTTATTAATCTTTGTGTTTATCTGTACCAGGAGTTTTTTGAAGAAATCGCTTAAGGGAGTATGTACCTGCCATAATTGTCTCCATTATGGCAAAGTTTAAACAAATTCTATGAGAGCGTTTTCGAAATATTTTGACACCCAGTTTTAACAATCATAAAAATAATGAAATAGCATGCTATCCACACAATTCGCTAATATTTTAAGAAACTGATAAGCTTTCGAAACGCGGCTTCATCCCATAGTGGTTTGATTCCATTGAAAACTGCATACAAAAAAGAGGGGAATTGCTCTGGGCGATCGCGAGCAAGAAGAATTTTGTTAACTTGTATTCAGCTGCTTTTGTTACAGTTTTTGGACTTAATTTGGTCTGTGAATACAAATTTCGCATTTTTCTAAAGACCGCTCGATAAATTTTCTTATAAATTTGACAATCTCGCGATCAATCGTCAATAAATATTCCCTGCAAGTTTCAAGAACGTTGAAAACAGGGAAGGCTTTAAAATAGGGCCTCAAATATAACCAATTTTTCCCCCAGATTTTGTGTTTACAAGTGAGCGTCCTCATTATTCACTAGCATTGTTTTCAAGTTTCATATACACGTGCACATTTAGCAAAAGGATAGAATTTGCATCAAAAAGGACCCTCGGTTAAATCTCGGGAATATGCTAATTACCGGGTAAAGAGATTAGTGATACATTATAACATCAGAGCAATTCTTTGTAACAGTTTCTGTGATATTATAACCCGTGTAAGATAATTAAGTATTGCGTCCTACACGATGAGCGGTGACGTTCATCATTTCGACTCTCACTGCTATCGGTGACACAAGCCAGTTATTAGCATATTCCGGATATTTCTTCAGAAAGTAATCGAGAGTTCTTTTTGATGCAAATTTATATCTTTTGCTAGTTGTGCACGTGCATATGAAACTTGAAAACAATGCCAGTGAATACAGAGGACGCTCACTTATAAACACAAAATCTGGGGGGAGAATTGGCAATATTTGAGGTCCTATTTAAAAGCCTTCCCTGTTTTCAGTGTTCTTGAAACTTCCAGGGAATATTTGTTGACGATTGATCTCGAGATTGTCAAATTTATAAAAAAATTTAGCGAGCGGTTTTTTGAAAAATGCGAGATTTGTAGGCATGGACCAAATTACGTCCAAAACCTGTATCAAAAGCAGCTGAATGCAAGTTAATAAAATTCTTCTTACTCGCGATCGCCCAGAGCAATTCCCCTCTTTTTTTGTATGCAGTTTTCAATGGGATCAAACCACTATGGGATGAAGCCGCGTTTCGAAAGCTTATCAGTTTCTTAAAATATTAGCGAATTGTGTGGATTGCATGCTATTTCACTGTTTTTATGATTGTTAAAACTGTGTGTCAAAATATTTCGAAAACGTTCTCATAGAATTTGTTTAAACCTTGCCATAATGGAGACAATTATGGCAGGTACATACTCCCTTAAGCGATTTCTTCAAAAAACTCGTGGTACAGAGAAACACAAAGATAAATAAAAAGCGTACTGGCGTCATTACGTTGCCATGGCGACTCCGATTGTATTAAAAACCCAGATCATAAGAAATTTTCATCATTATATAATACAGTTGTGGTAACCGATATCCCATATCTTCACTCATGCCGACGTAGTTAATGCTCAAACTTGGGAGGTATCCCCCAAAAGTTTCAGTCGAGCCACCTTAATGTAAAACGCTGCTACTTCATTAGGATAAGCTTGCACTAAACAGAGATACATATGATATATTTAAACAAGACAACATTCGTGTTTCTCGTTTAAAGGATGACAAACGCGTGGCTCGTATTTCAAATCGGTAAGACTGAAAATTTTTCATTGGGCTTTCTTCGAAACGGATGAAATTCGAACCAATATCAAAATTTGCTTCAGTTATATTTCTATGTTCACCGCCGCGAAGCCCAAATAATGTTCCGTCGGTTATAATAATAAACTGTATGGAGCAATAATTTGGCTGACTTACAACCTAAAAGTCCCAATTCACAGAACTTTTGTTCTTCATTTTCTGTGGCTGGCACCCTCTCTTCTTTCTTGTTTTTAAGAGTGACTCCCGCCCTTGTTGCGTCCAATTTCATTTTAGCATCAAGCGCTCTACGGAAGATTCTAATCATAGAAAACAGAAAAAAAAATGGTTAACGTTTAGTACAACTAAGAAAGACAAGGATCTCAACTGGGCAATTTGAACTCTACGGAAGAGATGTGGCTAGTAATTACCACCAAAACCCTACCTGTTATCCGAAGTACTCAGCAAATTTAAATCATCGCCGGGCTTTTTTTCTGCAAGGTATCGACGGATGCCGGCAATAATACCATTCACTTTTCTTGGGGGATAACGTTCGGAGGAAGATTTCGCGACCTCTTGCACAAACTTAGAAAGCCAGTAATTCAAAGACCGTAAGGCAATCATCTCGATCAAAGATGTATCCAGCGACTCAACCAAATGGAAATCGTAATCTTTGAATAAACCACTGACTTCAACATTGGGTACTTTTATCAATATCTCTTTCTGCCATTGTTCGAATATTCCATAGTCCCATTTATTTTTGTAACGAGTGGACTTTGGCACGGCACTTTCCACTAAAGCCATTGCAGAAGAGAGTAAAGAATTCAAAATTAAACCTTGATTTTATAATCATCCACAGCATTGTGATAACACTGTTCACACCCTTTCTGAAAAGACAAATCACCATAACAATACAGTTTTTCGTAACAACAAACTTGCAGACAACATGTGAAAAATTCGTGAATATTTCCATTTTCTTTAATTCCTGAGGCGCGATTGAAAAGCTCTTTCAAAAACCCGTGCATCGGGTTTCATAAGGGTTTCCAAACACTCGAAAACAATAAAAACACTCGGTCTGCGGCCTCGTGCTTTCATCAGTTTTCTTGTGTTTGTAAACCCTGATGAAACCCTCGCACTCGTTTTTGAAATAGTCAATAGAAACTGAAGAAATTGAAGTTCCTTTCTTCCTTGTATTAATAACTTTTCTAATACTTATCTTTAAAGTTTTTGATTAACCGTTACCATATTACGATCCCTTTATTAAATAAAACCTTTTATTGGCTCACAGGTCAACCACAAGCTACGCCAACGGGCAGAGACAAGAGAACCGGATTCGGAGAGGTTCCAGCGGCTGGCAAACTCTGTAGAGGAATTTATTTTCTGTTTACTGGATCCGCTTAAAACCGACCCTGACTGGTGTAAGGAATTTGGAGAAAAATATCTAGATGGCTTTTTGAACTATGCAATTGAATTCGAGCAGAAAAAGGTAGAGTGAAAGAAACTGTGAAATTTATTAACAAAGGCAAGTTTTAACCCATGACAGATAGCCAGCTTGTAATGAATAGGCGTGGAACCTTTGCCTTGCCTTTGTGATTTAAAATTATCGCCCTCTACCCCGCCAAATATTACTGAAAATGCAGATTTATACAAATATAAAGAAATTAAACATTATCCACGCTTGAGGAGTAAAATCAGTTTGGACAAAGGTGAAACAAAAGTAGCTCTTTTTGGTGAAAATGGCTTGACTTCATATCGTTTATGACGTAATATCTCGCATCTGACTAGAAACCAATGTGTAGTGCGCTCGAAAACAGAGTTCTGGGGCAGACTTTTTAGAAAGAAAACTTTTAATGAGGGCAAAGTATGAGCTTGATGTAAAAACTGTAAAAGAGGGCAAAGACTGAGCGTGATGTGTTGATGCGCGCGCTACGATCGCTGCAATCGCTGCTATCGCTGGAGAGTGGTTTCCATATGATCCCTGCGATCGCTGACCTTTTTCAGTGATCGCAGCGATAGTAGCGATCATATGGAACCAGGCTAAAGGAGAAGTGGTGGTGGTGGTGGGGGTGAGGTTGGTGTTGTGTGATTGACTAGGGAAACGTCATCTTCTCAAACTCGTTTTCAAATCTGCTATTTAAGGTGGCTGAACACAGTTTTACGGACGGTCAGCGGTAACTAGCGTGACTGCGCGTGTTTAAATTAGACAAACAAACATGGCGGCGAAAAAGCAATGGTACACAGAAGACGATTTCTGAAAATCTTCTCATTAAAATTTTGTGATATTTGGCAGAGGTTTCACTTTTATTGTATTTTAAATAATGAGAACTTTAAAATGGAAGTTGAACAGACGAATTTTGTGACACATTTAATAATTACAGTACCATTATATTATTGACTATCTAAAATCCCGTCTGTTAGAATTTGAAATAAGTTTTAAATGGTAATGATTAATTATAGTAAGCTGTGTGCAAGTTTATAGGAAAATCTAATGAGCGAATTTTATGTAAACTGAGCAAAAGTAAAATTTTAAGGCTGTATTCAATTCAACATTGTTGGGGCCGCGCACGTTCATCACGCATGGTTTACAAAGACTTATGGGTTGTATCCTTCGCACGATGCACTGCAGGTCCCAGCATTGTTGGGAGTTGTTGCATCCGTTTGCACACCACTGCCAACATGCACGCAACAACTCCCAAGCATTTTTCGTTGCAACAGCTCCAAAAGATGGGGCGCTACGGAGTTCCCAGAACAAGGTGTTTACAATAATACGCCAACGAAACAATGATTGACCCAAACAATGCCGCCATTCCTCAAAAATAGAGGTTATTGTTGGCAGTCAACATAAGGTGACACTAATCCGGTCCCAAATAAAACGTTTTCTTTCTCCTTTGTTGACAGTTTTTCACCCATCCAGCTGTGCACAGTGAATTGAATCGTAAGTGGCGTGGTCGCACTTTGGAAGAGTGTAAATCTTGGCAGCTTAATTTCTTCAAGTTTTGGTGTCTTTTTGACCTTGCTTTGTCTCCAATCCTACTTGGTCTATTTTCTCTACGAAATCACTGGACAGGTACATTGTTTTGAACAGTTTCTGTGAACTGGGTAAACCTTAATTAGAAGTCAGTTAGTTGTTGTATTAATGCTGATGATTTCGTCCGTGGCTTTTACTGACTAGAATTGTGGGAATGAAATCTAATAGTCCAACCGTGCTAATAGTAACACAACTGATTGCAAAATCTGCCATTACGGCGACCTAGGTAACTATTTCAGGTTTCAGTATAGTTTACAAGTAGTTCATATTTTTAGCATTTCTACATTTCTAGAAATGATGTTGGGGTAGAAGAAAAAAAATGAGGAATTTAGTAGTTGGTCTTTTCAGGGAGGCAAAGACTGATTATAACACAAAAATGAACCAAATTCTTTGTGATCCTGCAATTCCTTCCAAAAAGTGGTGGGGTATTGTGAAATCTATGTGTTACTCGGCTATCCCAGCGATTTGCAAAAGAGAAGTTTTTATATCTTTCCAAAAGAAAATAGTTAATGCTCTCAATGATTTCTTGATGAGTCAAGCCATGAGTGTACCAAATAATGACTCTGCTGAAATTCCATTCGTCACTTTTTATCTTCTTTTAACATTTCAAAAGCTAGTGGTTGCGAAGCATAAGTAATAAGATAGTTAGACTATGCAGGGTGAGTCTACGTAAGCCGTTCAAAAGTTTAATCAACACTTCATTTCGGCATGGACAATATCCGAGTGCTTGGAAATTTGCAAATGTTTTGCCGTTACACTTTTTTCCTATAAGAATATATTTATAAGAATATCGAGGCTGAAATGGGCAAAATTTTGAAAATATTTTAAGAATGAACCCGAGGATGAGATTTTGAAAATGGTATAATTTTATTTGTTGAAAATCCGTTTTTAAAATAGATTTATGTGTGGCCCACTCTTCATCTTTGAATCTCTCATACTTAAACAAATCGATCTTTATTGTAAAACCATTAGAACACATTGATTTCACTTAGACTAAAATTTATCATCATTTTATTTTTTGGGCGATCGGAAAAAATGTCACCTGACAATAACGTCACAATGGTTTAAGCTCTAAATCGAATTTCAGCCCGTCATTTTCAGCATTTTATTTTGAAATGCTTTACGCTACTTATTCTTTGGATGACTGTCTTCTGCTGTGCGAAGTTTCACAAAAATCTATAAGATGAATTTCGAGATACCTTGGGATTTCTACAAAAAGCGTATAAATTATACATGCACTGAAGACTGCATAGGCGTACGGGCAATTTTTTGCCAGAGGGGGCGGTAAACCATTTGCCCAAAAAATTATCGCAAGTTGCCCAAATTTTTAGTAGTCTACGAAAAGAAACGAGGGCCATACTTTCCAACAACATGGGCATACTGGCATATGAAGGTGGCTAGATACAGTTTTTCAGGGTCAATACCTTCCAAGTGTGAGCGTAAACTATGTCGCCATAAACAAACATTTAGAAAAATACCACCAGTTGTATTAGATACAGCCCAATGAAATTTGTCATGATCAGGGTTGCAATGGCATCCGATTGGAGTTGTTATAGCAACAAAATGACGCCATTACCTACCGCCATCACTTGCAGCAATATTTTTTGGCACCGGGAACTGTTCTTACAAAATCGTTCACGGGAGCTTTTTTCTCCAATACGGTCGCCTCATGAAGTTCAAGCGGAATCTGTAAGAGCTAGCGTTATCGAGATATTTTGGGATGAAGATTTTATCGTTAGAAAATTGATACGGTAAAAAAAGGAAAATCTTGATGTTTTGCCATTATCTGTAGAAAAAGAGGCGTTTTTGACCATGCAATTTCACCTCATAGTACGTAGTTTTAATATTGTTAAAAACACTTGTGAAAGATCGTGCCGATTGCTACAAAGAAGGATTTGATAATTATGTATCGAGGCGCTCTTGTTAATGGTTTTGTTAACATTTCGGTCTACTTTAGCAAATTAGCGAATAATGTTTAGACCGCTCGACAGTTTTTTTTTTAAAAAAATTAGTATTCTTTTTGTAATTCAAACCGAGACTGAGAATTAGTCAGCCTCTTCTTCATTTTCAGACCTATTGCTAATGCTATCTGCCGTACACTGTTGAAACTTCCTTCACTCCGACACTAGCACAGGGTCTGAATGGCCACGTCGGCATTTCTAGGAGTGGAGATGACTCTAGAAAGTTATGCGGAAGTTTTTTTGGAAATAGCCCATTCCAGATAGCAGTACAGTGCCCATCAATAAAAAACTACATAATATAGTACGAATTGTAAAAGGAACAAAGTCCAACACCTTCACGTGCAAATTGTGTGCTTGAGTTATTTTTATAATCCTGTTTATTGAATTACTGTGCGATAACTCGAATTCCCTCCCTCACTTTCACGTGCAAACTGGCTTTTCACAGTAATAACAGTAACATGAACGTATGAAGACCACTTTAGTTTTGTAACTAGTGCCTTAAGTAAAGGCTCTTTTCTCCTAAGAATCAATAACTTATAGCACTTTTAGAATCAAGTCGTCAGAGTTAAAAGACTGTTTCATTAAGTGGAATCGCACGCGTGACAACCTCGTGAATAATGATGATGCAACCATCTAAAACAATAATGAAAATGGTGGCATTTTTTAGCTATTCGGTATTCGACGAGCTTCATTATCTTACATTGGAAGAAGCCATGAAGAAACCTTGAAACATTCGAGTCTTCCCCCTAAGCAACGTCTGGTGAGTTGATATTCATAGCTTTTAACAGATTGTTTATTTTGCAACAGATGTCGGAAGGAAAGACAAAGAGAGGTGAATTTATAGTATAAGGATCGACTCAGCTGTGCGCAGTAGTTCGTGTTTTCATTAATGTACAGCGATGCCTAATTTCGCGCAAAAAATAGTCTTAGAACAGTAGATTGATGATACCGTTACATTGAAGCATTCAAAATAGCTCATGCACGTAAAACGTGCCTATGTTTGAATCATTTCAGGACGACGAGTCCCGCTATTACCCTGAAAGTATCTTCTGGTGAAAGAAAAATATTTGTCCTCTTCATGGAATGTGTCCAACTTTGTCCATGCACCCTATTTTGCGAACCAAGGAAAGTTGATGTTAGCGACCGTCAGGTTAAGAATTAAGGGCAGTATGAGACTCAGATATCGAAAACCAATCTTCTAATTTTTCCCACAAATAAAAGGCTTCTTGCGGGAACAATCTACATAAGGTTTCTTATCAACCTAAGAGCAATCTATGGACAAAAAAAATGAAAGAAATTGATTTTTTAACTCCTTTTTTTGGTGACCGGTAAGCATCGATCGATTTCGCGTCACATTCAACCTTTGACCTTTCTCCACTGCCTTACCTGTATAGTTACGTTTCATGCATCACGGTTGTTTCGCCGAGCGGTGTAAAAAACGAGCGGGCTTGGTAGGCTTATTGGTTTTAAGAACGCAGTATACTACTGTTGACCGTACGTCGTTTTCTCAGTCGAGACGTTACTTTATTGAGTCGACAATAATCTTGTCCACCACTCGTACTACTCGACACCTTTTCGCAGCGCCCCTTTGAGTGGATTGCGGTAATTCCAGTCGACAAAGCTTGCTTGTTAATTCGACACAATTTGCCTACCCACACGGGTTGAAAAACTATTTTTCGTGTTGTATCGAACCGACCGGTAGTACTTGACATGACTGATCATTAAAAACCTGAATGTTTTAGATCGTTTATCAGCTTATCAGATCGAGAGGTAGGCACAGATGTCGTTTTCGGTAGTTCATACCAACATGAACAGTTTTTTTGGGAAACGTCTCAAAATTTAATTGTACACAAATAAACATTTTTTTGTTCTTTTTTGCATTGTTTTGTTTGTTTTTATACAGCCGCCGACGTGTATCTGGCTTACCTGAAATCTCCGTACTACAAGTTTTTCCGAGATACGTTGAGCTATATAATCATGCTTTTGCTTCATTACGCGATCTGCTTATCTCCGACAACTGTTGCGTTCAGTGGATTAGAGTGGACCATCCTCGTTTTCTACATTGGTCGCTTTGTCGTAGAGTTCAAGCAGATTTTGTGTATTAAGAAGTGGTTAAGAGAAACAGAGAACGACACCCGTCAGTCAAACTGTGTCAGGATATTCTCAGTGTATTGCAGGTATAGAAAAGGATTAAATGAATCCGTGCTTTTGACGTTGATAAAAATTTTAATTATGACTAGGCAAACCTACAAGCGGAGCTCTCATAAGAAAGAAAGCAATTAACGCTATTAAAACACAGTAATTGCAATTCGCTATGGGTAAAATTACTAGAAAAAGTGAGTAATTCAGCCAAACAAACTATGAAACAAATCATTACATTTTTGAAGTAATGATTGATCTGAAAAAGATAACAGAAAAATGTTTCATTTCTAGCCAGGAATCATAAGAATGTTAGTTTACCTTATATTTTTAAACACTCATATCAGACCCATTTCAAATAGCGACTGGTTAAAACAGCTCAAAGAACCTTCTGTTTTTATTAAAATCCAACCGTACCTCAATAGCTTTAGAGTTGCTCATTATATATAAACATGAAGGAGTAACAAACAACCCATCAATTTTGAAAAGGGTCAAAAAGCTTAATTAGAAAAACAACTTCCCCTCAATGTAGATTAACTATTATTTCTGATTTTCAAGAAGTCATATAAAATACCATTAGCAATTGGGCTGAGTACGATGTGAAGAATTATACAGAAGAGGGTGTTATTCAACAAGGCCAGATAGTGTCTTCTAAACAACGTATCGAAACACCTTAAAGGGGCTGTGTAACGGCTGTCTAGTTCATTTTGCTAATATTGCCAATTACACATCCTTATTCGGATGGAACTTAACGTTAGCGAGGAAATTACTTGCAAATTACAAAATCATAGCCTCATGTCAAACTGAACGTGTCTCCTAAGAATTAAATCAAACGTTACAAAAAACCTGTTGGGCTAATTTGTTAGGCTATCAAAAACCACAATTTTCAATCAGTCTCAGTCTTTTTCAAGTCTGTCCATCCGTGCCTCCTTTGCATTTGCTCTGTTACTTATACCTTTGGTTCATGTTCTGAGCTGTTTTATTTTTTTCCTCTCAATTTGGTGGCAGCTTCTACTGCATAATTTTTATGAATTTTCGTGAGACAGCTCCTTTAAAGCTCCTCCGTCTATAATCAAATTTAAAAATAATCACTTAAGATGAGTTTCTTTTTAACTTAGCCAAGTCTTATCAAGGTCAGTGAGAGTGATAAATTCATGTTTTTATTTTGATTTAGTGATTGTTGGAACAGGTTTGACTTGACCAGCCTTGTATTCTACTTCATCATACTGATTTTGCGAATTGTCACATGGTTCAATGACGGATCAGCTGCAAACAACAGAGCCCTCGCTATTGCTGGCTATCTGTACAGCTTTAACACCTTGTGCCTTACTCTTCGAGCTTTTGGCCAGGTGATGGAACAACCAAAAGATGTTGGCACCATCCAGATCGCCCTGTTTAGCATACTTAGAGATGTGCGCACAGTCTTGTGGCAGTTTCTTGCGGTAATCTTGGCATTCTCCATCGCTATTACAAAGATTTACATGTCCGAGAGATCGTTTATCGCAAATGAGAGTGTACGACATAAAATGTAAGGGTCCAAATACTCGGGATTTTCAACTTCTCTAAATTCATCGCGGCATTAAGGTGGCTGAACACAGTCTTTATTAGATAGAATTGCGCGCGCTGATAAACTCCCCGACCCATCTTTATCACGAGAACATATGCAGCCAATGTGATTTTCAAGAAAAAAAAATACCAGGATAAGGTGCGAAAAATGCCCAGAAGTTGTCTCTAGAAATTTATTCTGTTTTCGTCACTTTGTCACATCGCGTGATCTCAGCGCGCGCATAAGTTTTGAGCATGCGTACTTAGGGAACAATGTGAGAGCGCTTGTTTTCTTGACTTTCATAGGCAAAGTGAACTAACAACAATATATCAAAATCTACTCATTAGCATTAAGACGAAATTTGGCAGAATTCTTATTAATATCGTACTTCAAACGATGGAAGCCCAAAAATTATGTCGAACAAAGGAGTTCTGTGACACAATCAAAGCTCGCACGATAGATATTTTCTTAAAAATTTCAAAAACTGTTACAATAGGCTATTTGCGCAATGGCGTCATTTTACTGCTACGACCAGAATCCTTTGCGTTTTTCCTTTCATATTTAAATTTGGTAATCCCAGCGAGATTTAAATGACAAAAGCCGTAATTTGCAACAGAAAGGAAAACCCTGAAGGATTCTGGTCGTAGTAGTAAATGATGTTATCATGCAAATGGCCTATTTAATCAAGATGTTTTTAAAAATGAAGTTTACTAATTGTAACTCTGTGCAAATTTATAAGTAATTCTAATGACTGGGTTTTGCGAAAACCTACTAAATTCAAAATTTTAGGTTTGTTTTAAATCATCTATGTTGCCTTAGCACGATCAAAATCTTACTTTTAACCTAATAAACGTAATGTCTTATGAATAAACTTTGTCCGTGCCAGATTTGCGCCTTGTATACCGGCAACGAGTTTTAAATAACATCCTTATGAATGGTAACGATTTACAACCTACAAAACTGTATTCAGCCACCCTAAAAATGTCTGGCATATAAATATCTTAAGTAGATTTAGTCCAGAATACCCTCTTCTCGATCGAAGCAATTCACAAAATGCTGGGATTTTATGACGACTAGGACCGATTTTTTTCCTCTTTTATTTATCGCACAATTGGTAAAATTAAACCCCAAAATTAAATTAGGCTCAAAGCTAAGTTAAGGAGAAAAAGTTTTATTTTACCCAGAGCTTACACATACTAAAGATAGCACTGAGTTTTACATATTAAGTAAAAGCCACTTTGGTCTTCTAAACCAGCCCAGATTTAAACTTCTGTTGTTGGATAATTTAGTATTTTTCAAATTGTTTGTCTCAAACTCAAAGCCCAAAACGAAGACATGTTTGGCGATTGTTTTATGCCACATTTGTCGAGCCTAAGAGGCTAGAATCTAGTTTAAATATATTAGATCTTTTTGTCTTGGGTAGTTTGTTGTTGTTTCTCAACGGAAATTTTCCTTCGTCTTGAGCATACGTGAACAGGTTGGAACGCTTTTTTTGTTTTCTTAATTCGTATTTTTGCATGGTGGGCATATGGGACGCCCAAAAACGCATCCTAGGAACTACTTTTGCATTCTTCATTCGTTTGAACTCAAACTTTGCAGGATGGTAGAACTTTGTATTCCAAACAATCACAATGGATCATTTGCACTAAGAGATCATGTGACATCGTTTTTATGAAAATGAAAGTTATATGATTTTGCCTTCGAAAACGATAATCGGGTCATATCTTAAACAAAATGATAGTGATTTGGTTTTTCAAACCCGCACCAAATTTCAAGGAAAATGTTGAAAAGATGATGTGGTAACGTTTACGGCACATCGGAGCGTAAGTATCAAACGTTTAACAAGATATAAGCAAAAAGTAGTTTTGGACACCATGTTGGAGGGCAAGAGTATGCCCTCCAACATGGCGGCCTATACAAATCATACTACTTTGTTGAATAATCAAAGTGCCTTAAAATATCTCCCTAAATGCGTTTCCTCTCAAATTTCGGGTGTAAGATAATATTTATTTTTATGTGCTCTGTCAATTTTTGGCATCAGCAAGATTCCAACTCATTGTTTAAAGGAAGCATTGGTCACGTGACCTCTTAGTGCAAGTAGCCTATTTTTTTGTTTTTCGATTTTAACGGTTTTTGGCAAGAGAATTACGTCACAAGATTGACAGCAAAACTAAAATTTCAAGATATGGCAAAACAAATAAATAATTTCTAAAGAGCACGACACGATAGAATAAGGCGTGAAAAAATGTTTTGAAAAGCTCAACTAGTTAAAGAGTTGGTAAACTTTGATTAAATTTTTCGAATTTCCCTCTATCTTGTTACTATTTTTGGAAACATAAGCACACTTCAAGATGCCATATCTCCCAAAGGAATTGAGCTTCTCCCAAAATTTTTTCACATTTGTTTCTATCAAGCCACACTCTTTCAAAATTAAAAACATACGATTGTTTGCAATACAAACTTCTACCAACCTGCAAAATTTGAGCTCAGTTGAATAAAAAGATGCAAACGTAGTTCCCAGGATGTACTTTTAAGGCGTCCAATACACCCACCGTGTTGAGCTTTTCCGACTGGTTAACGTAACAAATATTGACAGTATTTCAAACGTACTTCTGTGCTACGTAAACAGAGCGCACAAAATGATAGCCGTTTTTAACTGAAGTGGTCACCATCAAAATTTGCATTATATTATTATTATTATTATTATTACTAGGACATATTAAATTCTGCAAGCAGAATACTGCAATGCTTATCGTACTACGTGAAAAGCAACACTTCTGCTTGCAGAATCTAATATGTCTACATTGTTATTTTTGCTGATCATGCCTTTATAGATCCTACGTTCTTCGGCATATTTGTTTGCGGTCCTTTGCAGTCCTTTATGGTTAATGTTTGTATTATTATTATTATTATTAAGAAATGGTTCATCTCATGGTCTAAAATGGTTTTCAAAAAAATCACACCAAACAACAAAGCTCTATTTCCGATGATATATTTAGCTGGATTTTTTGAAAATGTTACGGCAAAATAGATCTCTTCCTTCAAGCTGTTTTTTTCTCTAAAGTAAAAACCGAAAAGTAAAAACCGAAAGTGTCATCTTCTCCTCCTTTCTTCCTTCTCGCTTTCTGTATTTTTTCCTTTCGTTTTCCTTGGCTATTGTGATTTTCAGGCTCGTACTAAAACAACTGCCTTTGGCCCTTTCCACTCTAATGGCTGCAAATTTTGGTAGATACGTTTCCAAAAATCCGACTAGATATATATTTATATATATTCTTGTTTGACCCTTTATACAGAAAATTTCTGAAAGTCAAAAAAATTTGAAAGGTCTCCTGCTAACAGGGATTTCACTTTGCTTTTTAGGGCCTGCAAGGAACCCGGACTTTACTGGTACGTGTTGCTTAGCGATCTTACCGCAGCAGATTTCAGTTTTCTTGAACACTGGGGCAAGGGAAGGGAGGAGGGGGTGGAGGACGTGGTAGCGTTTAAACAAGTTGTGTTACGTAATTTAGCCAAATTCAGCCCTTTGGAACTTACTGGCCCTACAGCTGATTGAACTATAAAAATACCAACTTTATTCCGCGAGCGAAAACTATCTATGAATAAATTCATAAGGAAAATTTTGCTTCTGCTACATCTTTTAAAACGTATGTATCTCTGCTGCTTTAGAGGCGATTGAAATAAAATTTTATAGAGGTAATGTTAAATGATGGAAGTTTAGGAGGGTTGTTTCTTATTTGGTAGATCGCGGTTTTTTAGCAAAAGTTAACGCCATATATCTCTTTAATAAAAGCGCTCTTTTGGAATTCGGCTCAATACATAACACACTACAGTCTACCCGAAGTTGAGTTTACCCCTCTGCAGTGCCAGCTCGTGAAGTTTTGTATCTGCGCTAATTTCTTGGACTCAATTCAATTTTATTCATACTTTTATAAAATATTTACATTATGTATAGTGAGGTAGGATACACTAATAAAGAAGAAGAAGAAGGAAAAAAGAAAATTAATGGCTTGGACAGAAGTGTACGGTGGTCAGAGGAGTTAAGCTTTCGAGCTTGTTTACCATTTACTAAAAGTTTCCGGAAAACCCGGTTGAAACGTGAACGGCACAGGACTTTTTGTGTCGTTCCAGGTGTAAAATTTCCGGAAGCAATGGAACTTCTGAAAAGGTAGTCCTTTTTCCCGGAGAGAATTTTCCAAAAGGAAATTCGTGTTTCATTTCTTCAAAGCCATCTTTGGTACCAGTTTCAGGCCTTCGCTGTCGTTTCTCGGTGTATGGAACTGATTTGTACAAATGGTAAACGCGATCCTGGGACGAATCTTACCAGCCATGAATTTTACGTACCATTTACCCAAACCGTCAACCCACCGGTTTGCCCATGTAAATGGTAAACAACAAAAATTGTCGGAGAAGTCAAATTTTGAGACTCCCAATGGTGTCCCGATTAAGGCCCCGTCTACACGTATCCGGTTTTTCTTTGAATCCACAACTTTTTCTTTGAGGATACAAAAATTTCCACGTCCACACGTATCCGGATTCAAATCGAATCTGCCTGTCCACACGCACGTATCCGGATATTTTGAATCCTCAATTTTTTTCTTTGCTCGGACCGTATTGAGTATTCACGGTAAAGAACTGGGCTCGATCTTGTGACATCAGTAGGTAAAAAATATATCCGGATTTAGCTTCCGCACGTTTTTATCTTTTATCTTTTAGATAGGGACTGTTTACATGGGGTTGGGGGACCACAGATAGGTGAGGTAACATGTGGAGGGTCACCCCACCTATCACGTAAACGTGATCAAATTAAAATGAGAGATTATATGGACAGGCGGGTTACCCCACGTAAGCGGGTTACCTCACCTACCTGGGGTGCCCCACCTCCATATAAACAGGCCCTTAATGGATTTATTTAAAGCGTATGCAGGAAGTACAACGACTGACATTGACAAGTTTGGGAGACATTCATGACTGGATAAAATATGGGGGAGTAATTTGAAATGTTCACGTGCATGTGTGGCATGGATACTGCAAGAGCAAAATGTTTATTCAAAGTAAAAAAAAAAACCGGGCTTTGAAGGGTAGTAATCCTTGTTTCAGTGATTTTTAAAGAAATGATAAAAACTAGGAACTCTTTGGAAATTTCAACGAAATTATCACAACCTTTGTATATGTTTATTTTCGGCCACAAAAATCCTTGGAAATATGACCCCTTATAAACAAACTTCCTTCAACGCATTGTTCTTTCTGGTCTCAAAACTAAAGAGTAAAATGTTATTACCCGTGATCGATAATTACACTAAATACATTTCTTGCTTGGCACTCGTGTTTAGTCGGAACACCTTTCTAAGCCTCAAATTTGACTTCTCCCACAATTTTGTGTCCAAGCAAGGAATTCAGCGCAGATACAGAAATTCACTAGCTGGCTTTACAAAGGGGTAAACTTGGTAGACCGTAGTGTGTCATGACAGTAGCTTTTAGGGAAAGATAAAAGGCATTAAAGGTACGGCAAAACAGGCAACAAGAAACGTATGCAACTTGTCTTGAGGTTGTCTTTACACTAGGCTGGTAAGACTTAAGAGATGCGAAGTTTTACTTAACGAAAAATGCGTGTGTGAAGGCCTGTGGAGATAGGTGGCACAGATAGGTGAGGTAGCATGTGGTGGGTCACCCCACCCAACATGTAAATGCGATGAAATTAAAATGAGAGATTATATGGTCAGGCGGGTTACCCCACCTAAGCGGGTTACCTCATTGTACCTGGGGTCCCCCATGAGAAAGTGCTGTCTTCTATTCGATCCGCAAGTTGGACACAAAATCACGTTTTCCCAATTTGACACCAATGTGGGTTAATAATCGCTTTTCGACTCAGAAGCAGGGTTTTCAGTGTTCTCTTTCCTTTGTGAACTGAATTTTAAGCTGTAGTTGGTCAAGGCATACGGTTATATTCTCAAAACTTATATCAGAACCAGCATGTTCTTCGCAGGTCGATTTACATTGAGCCAGTTCTCACCTCGCGTGAGGAATGCAACGTATTGGCGGACCTTTTTTTAAAACTTTATTTATGTTTCTCGAGAGATTTTGTCAACCAGCATATTTTTTTGCTGCTCGATTTACATTGAGACGGCCCAAAACTCCCGTGAGGAATGCAACGAATTTGCGGACCTTTTGTTTTTCAGACTATCATTATGCCTTTCTAGAGACTCTTTGTCCTGTGACACTCGCTCATTATAGATCTTTGTATTTTATTCAAGTTTATATTTTTATACCTCTAATACATTCCGCCCCATTCTTGCGCGCTTTTCACACATTTTAGTTTACACCAATTTTTTTTCTTATGTATATTACCACGCAAAATGTTTTTCTTATCGCTGATGACGCTGTTGCTCGGAATTTAACTATTGTTTTTAATTTCAGCAGTCAAAGGCCTCATTTGAACTATATTTTCTTTCTAACCTTTATAGCTTTGATACAATGGAATTTTCCATAACTTGCTCATATTTACCAACAAAGCTTCAAGCCATGTTGTTATTGTTTAATGAAAGTGAAAGCCTAGAATGTGCCAAAGTTGTTGTTTTGAAGTTGGGTGCCATCCTTTTCTATGGCGGAATCCATTTTAAACCTCTAAAATTATGAAAGAAGATCTGAATAGGCACATTCCACAAAAGATAAACGAATTCGCCTCGTTGGCACTTGCCGGAAGGTACCCCTAGTTTAGAGGTGTGTACTACTTGTACTTGCTACTACTACGTGTGAGCATGTACGATATTTTGGAGTTATCGTTGATTCACCTCAGAAGATATCTTTCACAGGGGTTTTCTTGACGATCAAGGCTAAGTTTGAATTCTTACTACATACAGAACCCGAGATGAGATGGGTACCAAATTCCTCGGTACTACCCAGGTGTTGGAAAATGCCCGGCCCCTACGGTAGTGATAATATATCAAATGCATTACCCCCAACATTAAACCGTGAGCAAATGCCTCATAATTTCCGGGCGGGGAAGGGAAGGTGGGCTCTCAGCCTCTGCTGGAATAGATTGATGCATAATGAATGATAACACTTACTACTGTAGTTATATTTCTGTTCACTTACAGTTGGTGGGCGATGTTCTCACACCTGGGCTGGTCCCTGCTTGGCCGTTCAGAAGAATCTGGCCCCATGATATCTGTGGATCCCTTGTCGGTCTTACTTGCCCAAATTTTCTACGCTGCTTTTCTTATAATGGGAGTAGTTCTTCTCATTAACATGCTGATAGCTTTGCTGTCCAGTACATATCAGAAAACAGAGGTAAATACTTAGCTTATTATTGTTTTTACGTTCGTGCGCAAGGTGTGGATCAGTTTATTTCTAGTGGTTTGTAAAAGTAATCTTAAAAGATCATTTAGTGATCTGATCATTTAGTTTTACCCCTTGTTACTCTCACTTACAAGATCAGTAAGACTTATTTTCACTGTTTAAAGTGAAAAAAGGACGAAAATTTCAGGTCATTGGACTCATCACTAAAAATCTATATCGACTGCACCAACGAGGTATAGGGTGCAGAATAACCTATTTTTGTGGTATTTTAAAAGCACTGTAAAACAGTAAATGAAAACAATAAAACCATTTTTGAGTACTGGTAAAGGGATGTACCGGTTAAAACCAGTACATCAATGCGTCGTCCTAACACTATATAGCAGCTCACTTCAAGTTGCAATAAACAAGGGTTTCTCCTGCTTCATTTACATTGTTAGGCTGCCAAATACAAATGTATCCCTAGAATTTACAGTAAAGTTAAGAACCTTCTATGCCAAAATCTAGCCTTATTTACTTAATATAATTATTCATTCAAAACATTTCTTCATTTCTGGTTAGCTTAAATCCCCCGGCTAATTTTTCATACCCAGCTACCGTTGACCAAATTTGGAGGATGTTTGCTGGCGGATATTATGAAAAGGTCAGCACTCGTTAACATCCGTCGAAGGGCCCTTCAGTCTTCGGTCGGATTTCGTAAACGTATGACGTCACGCTCGCCTCGTGGTATATCACGTATGCTTTTGCTTCGATCGTCCACTCTGATTTGTCTGATGATCTGACATTTGGTTCGAGGTCTTGCCTTGCTTTTTCGATGATTCCTCGATTGATTCAAACAAGAATATGCCACTGTCTCCGTTAAAGATGTTTTGAAGTTTCAAGCCTCTTCTTTCTCCGTGGGGTATTAAAAGGACCTGTCAGTAGATGTTACTGAATAACATGCTTTGAATGGCCCCAGATCACCAGGCTAGGTGACAATTATACATTATCACTTTCCTTATTGAATACATGTACAGTGTAGACTCAGTGTAAAAATCGCCATACTTACATTTCACATTTGAGGAGAAGGATCAATATTGTTATTTATTTAATAACATTTATTTATTTGTTTAGGCTTATTTATTTTATACTTTGTAATATAATTTAATTAAGGTTGCAAATGAAAGTGCACTTTGGTTGGAAGCCACTAATACTTTGAAGTCTTCATCTATATGATATCTACAAGTTATTTCTTGGGAAAGGTTGCCCATCAGGTCAATGGATTTGTTCTAGATTTTTAAATCGTTTTCTTTAACAGTACATTAAAATGAATGAATGCTGGAATCAATTTTTAATTCAACTTAAGTACCCCTCAGAGTTTTGACTGAGCCTCTTGCTGTTTCGTCAAAAATGTCTTTTAAAAACTGAAAGGGGAGGGTCCAGAGAATTTGGAAATGGTATATTGCCATCTGCATTAGCCCTTCCCTCTCTGTAAATAATCCCCACTCCCTGATTTCTTTAGGTTTGTTTATGAGTATTAGTTTATAAGTGCACATTAAAGCCTCTTCTGCTGTTCCTTCAACTTCTTTCGCAGTAAAGCCATGTCATTCTAGAAAGGAAGAAAATGCTTTTTCAGACGATTAAGTAGAGCAGATGCCATTTAATTTCATGAAGCAAAAACAAACATGGTAAAGCAATTATTCAACAGTAAGATTGTTTATCCTTGGTTGATCATAAATAACCGTCCCTTCCGTTTTCTATGTGCATTACTGACTGTGTGATTTGACTGGTGGATTGATTTTTGGAGCACTCTCAATTCTCCTTTTTCCCTCTATGTGTTAATTTGTTTTCTTATTCGGTACCAAAGTGTGGACCCAATTACTCTGGAATTATACTGCTTGTGAAAGGCATCTGTTCAGCCGAAGTGCCCCATGTGGCTGGAGAGAGGAGTATTTGCTAGCTATGATCTATCACGTACCTCTATATGGATGTTAGTTACCAACAAAAGATGTCTTTACTAACAGTAGTTTGTAAATGCAGATTTTTAACATAGAAATTGTTGTGAATCCAGATTAGTGTCTGTTAGTAAGAGGGGCATGTAAGCTGAAAGGAGGTGTCTTTAACAGAGTTTCTGTACAGTACCTGATGGAAATTGGGATTTTTTTCTCCTGCTCAAGTTCATTGTTGCAAACTAAATGTCATGTACTAATGTTAATGTTACTATTCACAACAGTAGTTTAACAACATGAGTGATGTTCAGAATACTAAAAGTTTAAAATATTACTTTGTCAAACAATGCAAATTATAATCATTTCTATTACATTATTATTGATCACTAATTATAGTCATTGCTATTACAAATTTTGGCAATACTATGCAAAATATGCTTACCGTGCAGAGAAACTCAGCCTCAGTCATAGTTGGTTTCTTGAAAGAGAATTGCCTTTAATGTAGATAGCAGGGGTCCTTTGCCCGCACCCCTCTTCTCTACCACCACCGCAGCCATTTTTCTTAACCCAAAATTGGTCAACTGGAAATGTTAAGATTTTATTGAACACCAGTTGTAGCATCCAGGGCGTTCCTTTTTTTGGCCCCCGATATGACTCAAGAAGCACCATACGCCGTATTCACAAATGGCGGACACGCGGGAAAAAACTGGTGCCTAGTCATGAAAGCGAGGCGTTGGAGGATAAACAAAAATTGACAATGAAGACTTTCAGTGAACTTGTAGAGTGTTTAGCACGGATTCCACCTAAAATATCTTTGTACAGACTTCTATTTAGATACAATTACGTGGGATGTCTTCTGCTTTTAATGTTTAGTATTGATTTGCTGTTTGCAATCAGAAGGGACGTGTATATCTTCAAGGAAACAGGATGATTTTGTAGGTTTCCGAAGCATCAGAAGCTCGACAAAAGGGCGATGGCTGGAGAAAAGCGGCAAACATGTTGGCCCAAACATTGAAACCGAGTACGAAAGCCAGCTCACTGCAATTCGGTAAAACAGAAATATAAACAATGCAAATCTTGGTGGCAAAAAAAAAAAAGAAATAAGCGACGGATATGTGGCCTACTTCTTAACGCAAGAGACGTCTCTGCGGCCATTGAACAAAACAGTTCCAGTCGAGATGGAAAAAAGAAAGTCAGGAAAGAAGCGGTAACTGAGGTTTCGATGAAGTTATGTTTGGTTTTGGTTGACAGGACGTTATTCTCTCGTCTTTATTGATGAAGGACATCAATTACAATGTGGCCGGATTACCGAGTCTGCCGAGTAACAAGTTGAAATTTTGAGCGCATTCAACTCAATGGCTCCTGCATTTATACTAAAAAAAATAGTTCTAATTGATGTCCCTCATCACTAAAGACCAGAGAATAACGTCCTGGCAAACCAAAACCAAACATATAAACTTCATCGAAACCTCAGTCACCGCTAATATCATTTCAGCGAGTAATTTTCGTATTTCTTATCTTTGGCTGTTAAGAGTTTTAACTTTATGTTCCATAATATTTTAAAAGTGAAGAATACATTAATAAGTAACATGATGGTCTTCTTAAACGGATCCACACTCGAATTTAATAGATTCGAAACAGAAGCTTGCCGTGTTCAGTCCTGACACAAACATTGCCTTAAAAGTTTAATCTAGTAAAATGTGAGCTTTATACCACTTTTTATCAAGAGCTCTCCGAGATAATGCCCTAATAGCAAGCCATAAGATTTACACTACAGCTTCTAATTTCGATAAAACTATTTTATTTCGCAATGACAAAGAAATCAATAGATTTTTGCTAAGCTCTGCCAACGTACCTCTAACAATTCATGCACTCCAAAGCGACGGAATTCAGTAACGTCATCTAAAGGAAGTTGTAAATACAGACATACATAGATATGTATAAAATGACACTGACATGAATGAATGATCGAGTCTTGTGAATGAACCTTTACCCGCTCTCGACTTGACCTGTTTTGTTTAATGGC